ACGTTTTTGCAAATAATTATTAGTATTTCATGATCATCAAGATAATCCTTAGGAACTTCATATGCACAAATACTACGAGGGTGAGTAAGAGAAATTTCTATTCTTACTCTTCAAGTCGTTGGATTTGTTCAGCGGAGTGTCGATGATACTGTTTTCTCTCCCTCTCCCTTCTTGAGTTTGAAGAATCGTCATGTTCATCAGCTGATCCACTGCCCTCAGGTGCAAAATCCATTTCTGCCTTCACAGTAACAAAAAAAAAAAAGAGTGAAGGTATTGTAGTAAACAATATTGACTGGGACAACACGACTTACGCCTAACTAGTCTACTTTTTAGTACTTATATCGATATAGTAAAAGCATCATATTCACCACTAATCTTGAATGACATCACCTATGAAATTTTCACAAAATAAATACCATATACAAAAGAAAGAGGCATTCGAAAGAAGAAAGAAGTTCCTTCTACCTAGTATACTTTTGCTTCAAATTGGAGTTATGTTTCCTCGTTCTCTATGCACCAACAATTTTTGGATGGAGATGCAGAGCTTTTCTTATCCTTAATGCTAGCTGTGAATAGCATGGCCATGGGGTTTGCTTGTCTATGCTCATATAATAGCATGTGCTACTCCATATAAAGAAAGTCAGGTAGGCAATTTCCTACATAATCCAGAATCTAAAATGAGCTAAAATAGTAGGAATCAAGATATTTGTCTTAAAGGAAATAAAAACTTTAACATGTATGACTAGACCAAGCATGGAAAAGTATCAAAATACATTGACCTTAGCCTTATTTGCACATTATCATGTTAATCATTTTTTGTTTAACGCAGCGAGTTACCATTTTCGATGTCTATGAGCCAACTCAGGATACTTAATTTAAGGCGATCGATCAAGTAATTTTCATTAAACAATGAATTTAAGGTGATCGATCATGTAATTTTCATTAAATATTATTCAATAACGAATGCTTAATCAAGAAAATCACCTAATTATTGCTTAAAAATTTAATTAAACTTTTAATTAGCGTGTTGTGGAATTGAAAAATTTTCTAATTAAGAAGTATTGCGGAGAACTTCCAAATAATTGTTTTGTTTTTGTTTTGAGAACTTGATTAGCTCATTATTTTCTTTTCTTTTATTAACGGTTAATTTATTTTTGCATTACACTAACTTGTCATATATAATTTGTCTAAAACACTTATCCAAACGACATATAATCATTCCAATTAAGAATTGAAGGCCAAACTTATATTAAAATCTGGCAAGATTCAAGGGATCAAGCTAAATCTATTATTTTTCATACATTTAATCTCTATCTTGTTAAGAGATAACAACAATTATACTATTATTTCTATGCTAGGTCCTTAGAAATCCTAATGCCATGTTATCAGGTTCCACTTTTTAAAAATAATCTCAAATTTCTGACTATAGGATAGGAAAATATTTTTTCTATGCGAGACATGTAGCAAAGATGTGTTTTTAAATAAATCTCAATAAACAATTACTGTGCTAAAATACTTTTTACATATACTTAATCGTGGATATCATCATTGCTTTTTCCTAGTAAATCACGTTCTCTTTGTTAGAACATAGTTAATCACTTTGTCTAGCAGAATTATCAATCCAAGATAATTATATATCGTAATTTAACTAATTCTCACATACAAGTAATCATTGCTGTTGTGGTTGATATAAATGTTTGCTAGAAGAAAATTACAAAGTCAATGTAACCATGATATGGCATGATAATAGGGCTTTCTAAAGTGATACTTCCTATTGCAAAAAAGGAGTACCATTGTTTCTAGATTGTTTATCTACTAATGTACATAGTGTACATGTATAGTTATTATTGACATATTATCTCCATCAATCTCTTTTAAATACAACCAATAAATATTGTTAGTCTATGACCTAAATGTTGCAGTAGGAGAGATTAATTACTTTGTAGTTGATTGATTTATGTTATCTTGAATGCAATATGTATTATAGTTATGATACTTGTATTATCAAAGGATTAAATCCTATAGGATACAACTTTGAGATTATAAGATCTAATCAAAACAAACCCTATAAGAATTAATGGTAAGATGAAATTACGATTCATCAAATTGTTATTAATTACTTATATAGTTCAAATTTTTTTTGTAAAACGATATTAAATAAAAAAAAATTAACTACATGATTAATAGTGCCATCTAGCTTTATAAGAATATACCGCCAAAATTGCAAATCTGTGTTCAAAAACTAAGGGGGAAAATCGAATTTCATTGTGAGCACTTAATTTTTGCTATTAAATTAAACAATTATAAGCACAACTAGTTTTGGAAGACTACAGTAATGTTTACATACTTTTACTTTTTTACATGTACATTACAATCAACTTGCTTTGGAAATTAAAAAAAAAAAAAAACTTGCTTTGGAAATATGTTTGCATCGCTAAAGGTCCATTACGTTCCAAAGTTAGATATAACCCTCGAGTATTTTTACCTTCAAACTGCGAACATAGAGATATATAATTAACCACTTTCATAATAGTATGCATGCACATATCAATGAAGACATATAAATGCTACCAAATTTTAAGAATCTCCATTCTGTAGTACGTCATTTTTCCCAAAATTTTCATGCAGGTACAATTAGACTTGTCATTAGCTATTCTTTGATATTTATACATTAATATAAATAAACCCTTCTTGGAACTTGCATTTCTAATCAAGCTTGACATGTTACAAATTAACCAACAAGTCATGAATTTGAGATTTTCCCCTACTCCACTATTAAAATGTCTATCCTCAACTATCAAAAAAGCTGTAAATTGTAAGAAGAATACATGCAATTTCCCCAAAATTTAAGATTCCGTGAATATTTAATAATCATTTCTCTCATGAAATCCAAGACATACACACCAAAAACGTCAAAGTAATAATTCACTAAAGCATCAAGCAGTATGGAAAAATGATTAATATTGCAAATTTGATGGGTAAGAAACCTGTACTTCCTAATCACCAATGCATTTTTTTATTCTTTAGTGTTAAATTTGTTCATGAAATGTTTGAATACTAGGACTGGCGAATGGATGCTTGTCAGAAATGTTATAGCTAGGGCTGCAAACGAATCGAGCTGCTCGCGAGTCGAGTTCAAGCTGGCTCAAGTCGAAATCGAGTTCAAAATATTAAGCTCGTTAGCTCGCGAGCTCAAGTATATATATATATATTTTTTGTTTTAAGTATATATATATTTTTTATTTTTTATTTTAATAGTAAAATTACATATATATCCTTAATATTTTATTATTTATTAAAAAAATATTTATTTTATTTATTTTTTAAAAAATAAAATAATTATTTTTTATTTTTTCGAGCTCGGCTCGAATCAAGTCGAGTCGAGCTCGAGCTTGAAATTGTGAGCTCGTCGAGCTCGAGATCGAGTTTGAGTTTAATGAATTTATGTCGAGACTCGGCTCGATTAGGCCAAAACTCGACTCGATTCGGCTCGTTTGCAGCCCTAGTTATAGCTAGAAATTGATATGCATCAATTTTGTTTTAAAATACTGTATAATTTGCAATTGGTTAGCTAAAAGATTTATGGATTTTGAGGAGGGTCTTTTATTCAAAAAGTTCCCCAACCCCATACTTTTAAATAGAGGTGTTCAAATTTCATAAAAAACCAAAGAACCGACCAATCCAATCTAGATTGGATTTAGATTCTGGCAAAACAAGAATTTAGTAAAATCAAAATATATTCAATTATAATGTTTGGTAAAATAGTTTGGGAACGGATATTAAAAATATATTATCAAATTATCAGTTATTGATCGAATCTTTGAAACTAATATATATATATATATATATATATATATATATATATATATATATATATATATATATATATATACACACAAACACATTACAAAATATTGGTAATGAGTAATTAATTAACTATTGACTACTAACTAGTGGTCCAGTGTAGTATTACTAGCTAAATGGATTGAATTTTGTTGAAAACATATATGGGATATTATTTTCGTACAATAATTTTTTATAGAAATAAAAATATTTTAACTTACAATTGACATTTTACATTTCGGATATTATCCGATCACCAATGTCCAATTTACCAAATTAAAGTTTGGACAATAATTGGATATTGGTTTTTTTTTTCTTTTTCATATTCTTCCCACTTCCCTACTCCCTTCCTAAACCCTTACCCCAAACCTGCCAGACTAGGAGTCGAACTCTCAACTTGACAGGTGAGAGCATAGCTCCTGGCCAACAGTCCAGCGAGTTACTGGTTAATCAGTTATTGGTCTTAAAAACTCCTAACCTGACTGATAGGCGAGAGCATGGCGTCTTGACCAACAGCCCAACGAACTGTTGGTTAATTGGTTATTGGTCTTAAAAAATCAATTTTCCAATTCTCAAGATTTTTTTTTTTTTTTTTACTGAATTATCAATTACCGGCCAATGAACATCCTTAGTTCTAAATACACAGTCGAAAAGAAAATCAATTCAAATACACGGTCTCCATTCTCTCTGGACCTTTTTGGCAGTTAAAGGCCAAACAAACCAAAAAAAAAGCCCAAAATGCTGCAAGATCTGATTGGCATTGCATTCGTAATTCCAAAAGCCCAAAGTTCAAATGGTGTAAATTTAAGATACAACTGAATATAAATGGGCCAAATTTAAGTCCTAGACCCAGCCCATCTACAACAACCAAAATGATATCGGATAAAATAAAGGAAAACGACAGAAACTCTGAATAAGCAATCTCTTCGTGTCAGACTCTCAGCTGCGAACCAGTTGAAGTGTCTCATTTTGAAGTTTAGGAACGAAGTGGGATTCTGCAGATAGTTTGAGGGGAACAAAGTGGAATATACCTTTTCTTTCCCCTGAACAATTAAAGTTCAATCTTCTACAGGTGAATTTTGCCTTGTAAAATACTATTCAAGAAATATATTTGATGGTTCTGGGCTTTATGGCTTTATAAATCTTTGTTGAAACTAGCTGGGTTGGGGTTATAGGAAGTGATGGCTCAGGCTCATTCGGGTTTGTGTATTCATGGGGAGTTTTTTCATGAGAAGGAGGAAGGAGTTAGGGAGCTCTGAAATGGAGGGAGATGGGGTATATGTCGGCTTATTTGGATTTTAACTACTGCCACGTTAGGCCAGCCATATCCTTCCTAGTGTATCGATTTCTTGTTAAAATTGTTGATTGTCAAAATTGAAAGAGTTTTCAATATATTGCGAATTGAATGATTTCTTGAAATATTTTGCAGTTGACATGTTTACGAATAATCGGAGGCAAGAAGAGCGGACTGGAAAATATGGAACTCCCCGGGTAAATTACCTTCAGGTATATCTCTGCTGTAAATTATTGCTATCAGAAATATTCAACTTTTCCCTGTTCAAAATGGTTGTGAATGCGAAAATGTAGTTGAGAGTTGTATTTCTTTTATCTGCCTTAATATTGATTGTTTGGGAACTTTCATTAGTGGCAGTTGATAGTTAGCATCCATTGTTTTCTTTGTTTGATTTAGGAATTGGTGAGTCAGTTTCAGAATGCTACTGATGAAGGTATGTTTTGTCCAATTCTTGTTTAAGCATATTTACTTGCTTCTTTCGTATAGCATTTATGAGGTTAAGGCATTTGATTAATAATTAGCCTTGACATCAGCTGGTACTGACAAGGTTTATGAAGTAATGAAACTAATGGAACAAAAGATTATTCTGCAGTTTTTGTTGTAGATTGCTAATTAATAATTGATTTTGACATCATTTAGTACTAACAGGGTTACGAAGTAATGAAACCAATGGAACAAAAGATTATTCTGCAGTTTTTGTTGTAGATTGCTGATCAAATAAAATTCAAGTTTTTTTATTTGCTGACATGGAGCTGGTACTGGGATCCCTAGATTGCTTCTGCCATAGAATTTCTGTGACTGCTAAAAACATTGTTTCATCCATGGAATCTATACAGAATCAATTTCTTGCGGTAATGGTCATGTGACCGTAGACTAGAACCTTTTCTTTGGAGGGGAGACATGCATAGATGAAAAGGGTCTAGAGGCGAAGTTGTTGTATGAATGCCATATTGCCCTGGATTGGTTTGGATGAAGCAGCCTTAGCAAACAGGTTAAAGGTGGACGATCAGTTTTGAGCCAATGACCTCCTAGGTTGAAAACTCAGAATGAAGAATTCTTGACTTTGCCACAACCCTGATGGTGATAATGCTATCAGGGAGTATGAACTGATTCATGTTGATGAGGAATATGGGGAGCTTGTCTTATGGATAGGGTTTATATTAACTTACTCCAAGATAAGTGGGATGAAAGGATTGGTTAATTTCATGTTTTAGTCCTCATGCCTTCTCATACTGTTAACTAGGGACATGGTTTCTGTGGGAGTATCTGCACTTATGACATATGATATCTATCAGCAATTGGTATTCTCTATCATGGAATAACGTGTCCAACTAATAATCCTACTCATCCTAATTCCAAATATAGCATTTGTGGTCTCAAAATTTTGTGTTATGTATCTATGAACATCTGTACCTAATTTTGGTCATTCCGTTTTAAGTTAACCTATGAAATCTTGTTATTCAGAGATAAAGGAGAGAATTGCTGCTAATCTAGCAAACTTTGCATATGACCCTTACAACTACACATTCTTGCGCCAGGTAGTTCTTGAACTTTTGAGTTATATACATTTTTCTTTCTGCCATGACAATGAATGTGCTTGCCCTGATATAAGCAGCTTAATGTTTTGGAACTTTTCCTCGACTGCATGACAGAGCCCAATGAGAGGCTTGTGGAGTTTGGTATTGGAGGAATCTGCAATGCCTGTGTTGGTAAATTGGACCTCTGGCCCTATTTTATTAGTCATTTAAGAAAAGAAGATGTCTATTATTTTTATATCTTCTAAGATTTTCTCAACTGGTTTTTATTGCCAAACAGTCACTTATGGTGTATAATGTAATTTGCTTTTCACTTGTAATCTAGATCCGTCAAATGCTGCAGTTGTAATTCAGTGTGGTGGAATCCCTCTTGTCATTCAATGTCTCTCTAGTCCTGTCCGAAACACGGTAATTAGTAGTATTTGTTTTCTGGCTTGTTCAGATCGTTGTTTGGATGCCCTTACCCTTTGACTATTGGAAGTTGACTTCAATCAGGGCTCAAGTTGCATATCCATACTGCATAATTTTTGAAACTAGAAAAGGTTTACATCGCTTACTTTACTCAAAGTTCATTGACTATCATTCACTCTATTTATTGCTAAATATTACAGAGACAGCAGTGGAATAGAGATGAACCCTGTGGCAGTCACATGCTAAATATTCCAGTTCTGGAGCATCTTTTAACATTGGCATTGTAGTTTATGCTTGTATTTCATGGAAGCCACCTAATGCTATCTTCATCGTAATTACTAGATTGACAAACTAGTGTACTTGGTTGATTTTTGTTGACTTGTATTTCGTTAATATGCTATTTGAGCTGAATTTGGAATGCAAGGCCTCATGGATACTCCATGGATTACTGTTAGTCATGGCACATTGACCCTGCTATACTTTATTGCCAACCATTTATTTAGAAGAATTTGTTATTTGTAGTTATCCTGAAAGTCACTTCTGCCAGAAAGAGAAATGAATCTCTGAAGTGTCCTTTGAAAAACGGAAACTTGGTTATCATCTTGGTATAGTTGTGGGTATTGTGTTTACCAGCAGTATAATTTTGTGCAAGTGTCCGGATACTTACTAGTTACTGCAAACAAACCTCAATATGGCAGGTGAACTATGCTCTTGGGGCTCTGTATTATCTCTGCAGTGCATCAAACAAGGAAGAGATTTTGAAGCCAGAAGTAGTGGATATCATCAAAAGATATGCTTCAGCTGGTGCAGTTAGTGTGAGCTTTAGTAACATGGCCCAGGCTTTTCTCGATAAGCATGTCTCTGAGCTGAACCAAGCATAGGATTAGGAAGCCCAATGAGACTGTGGCATGTAGAAATTGTATTTATCATGTGTTCATCTTCTATTCTAATTTCTTTTGCGACTTAAAACATCCCTATCTATATGCATAAAATTGTTTTTACCGTGTTTCTTGTGGTTTTTTTTTTTTCAACTTCAGAATCAGTAGTAGTACTTCAAGATCAAAAGCCTACGACTTTCTTCCAATGTATACAATGTGGTCCATCATCTTAAGTTCCCTACGCTAATAATGGTCAGAAACTCTGTGTACTTGAGTCTGTTCATAATTGAGGTAGTAGATATCCAAAGCAGGAGAGAGAGTAGTTTCAATTGTTTGGAATGATTAGATGCATCAAATGGATGGGATGGAACCCGTCCGATCTTTTCTCATTCCTGTGTGTTATGTCGGCTGAAGTTCATTGTCAAATAAGGATGCGCACATTGGTTGCAGTCCTGAAGAGTAAAGAGGGACGGACCCCATATGCTAAATGCTATGCTCTTTAGAAGTTTCAAAACTCGTTAGTTTGGAATAATCATTGGACACATAACCTTCCCCAGTGGCCACTCCACATTGGACATCAATGGGATAATCATCTGCCGGTGACAGTGATGTGGGGGAGCATAATTGAGTGTAGGGACCTTGAAAGAAAGTGTGGGGTTGTTGAGAGTAGTTTAATCAAAATTTATGTTCACTTTAGATTCGTGCATTTTTAGAGGAGGATTTGCAAAGTGCATTTTTAGAGGCTTTGAATCCGACATTTGTTTCTTGTGATCAATTTACAGTCACAGGTCCTATCCTTGCAAATCCTCCTCCCGGAAAATTCATATAAATGGAGGGCTCAAGGCCATTTTCAGGGGAAAAAAGTGTCGCTATTCCATAAGAGAAGGAAAGTGTTAACAATAAAAGTTCACTGTCCACCAAAGAATATGTCATTTTTTTTTTTTTTTTTTATGTTTTTTGTATCCTGTGCCATGTCAGGATTGTTAGTTTTGTGAAATAAATTTTTAAGAATCTTTTTGAAATAAGGTTCTAACGCATGTTTAAGTTACATGCATTATATCCTTAACCAATACAATGTCTTTTTTTTTTCAATAAAAACTCTAAAAATTTTCAAAAACAATCTAAAAGAGTAGTGGCACAATCTTAATAAAAATTTTAAAAAGTCACAAATACCAAGTAGAGTAATCCACTGATTTTCACCTCCAAGTAACATGCATGTTTTAAAGTTTTCCATTGGGGATTTCTTGAATGTTAAGAGGAAAAAGGTTTCTTTTTTCATTTTTTGGGTTATTTTTTACTTTGTAATTATAGATTGGATTGAACTATTAGAGTTGGCTCAATGACCAGCAGAAGATTTTTAGAGAAACTCTTAAACTATATGTTCGAATTTTGAACCTAATAGTTACCATTAAATCGTGAAACTTATAATTGGCAAGGATCAAAGTAAAAAAAGTTTAAAAAAAAAAAGAAAAAAAGCTATAGATTGGACTGTTTGGTTCATTCAATTCAATGCTGGGTACTGTCAACTGTGATGGTCGATGGTAGTGTCGTGACGTGACCAACCGCTCCCCTCGCTCGCCCACCAATAAAATTTTAAGACAGCACTTAAATTGGAGCTGATTTTCCTTTCCTTTTCCCACCCCTCTTCGGCTCATATTCATTTCTCCAACTCAGGGTCCCGGATTTCTCGCCGGCGGAGATTTTCTCGCTAATCTCCGCTTCCCCCGTTCCTTGCGACTCAAACCCATCTTATATATCTAGCTCTTTCATCAGATAAGCTCGCAAGAACAAAACAAAGAAAATGGCGTTCGAGAAGATCAAGGTTGCCAACCCCATCGTCGAGATGGACGGTTAGATATTTTCCCACCCCTTTCTTTTGATCTGTTTCCTTTTCTATATAGTTAAATGATTGTCATGCAGATCTGAGTTGCTGTTGATTCTTGCTATATGGGTTGACTTTTGGATCCTAGAGTGCCAATGGGTCGTGCATATGAAGCGAAAAATTAACAAAAAACTCTGATGTTTACGAGGTTTAAGTGATTAGTACAAAATCCTAGTATTGATTTTAATGAAAGTTGGTGGGCCCTTTTTTGGCTTTTATTGGAGATGTTTGTTAGCATTTTGAAAGATGATATGTTTAACTGTTGTACCTGCATTGAAAAATCTTGATCCAGCTTCCATTTTTTGTTTTTTGGTTTTGTTTTGGCAATTTTGTTTGCTGGTGTTGGTATTCATTAAACTTTATCTGTTCAAAATATTTGAAATTTTTTTTATTGATCAGTGTATGTCAGCGTCTCGATTCAGATGTTAGTATGTCAAAATTGTAGCTAAATGTTTGTCAACAACAGATACAAGCAGATAGTCTGGGCATTCTTGTTCTGGCTTGTGATGCAGTAAACTAACCAGAAAAAAAGGTTCCAATGGAGTTTTAAGGTGTATAGTAGTGGTTTACTAGATAAGCATTTAGGAAAGAGATATAATCTGCCCAGACATTGGAGAAAAAATTGTGGAACTGTTACACTGAGGTTCAGTCTTGTTGCTGGCTGATCGGAAATGGCATATGACTTACACTGGTTAATACATCAAATGAGCTGCTATACATACAATACTAGATTGAATCTAAATAAGCCAAAGTTAAAATTTAATTATGATGTTTTAGTCAATGTTCTGCAGGTTTTCTTTGTCATTAATGAGAATGTGCCTTTCACTGTATTATCTTCTTCTTTACGTAATGCAGGAGATGAAATGACCAGAGTCATTTGGAAAGCAATCAAGGATAAGGTAACAAGTTTGCATTTCCAGTGCTTATCTTGTTGGACTTCCTAGTTTATGTTGTTATATGTATGTTTAATTGCCAAGAATGTTAGTAACAAGGAAGTATGCTTGTGCTGCAGCTCATTCTCCCTTTCCTGGAGTTGGATATTAAGTATTTTGACCTTGGACTTCCTCACCGTGATGCCACTGATGATAAAGTTACAGTTGAAAGTGCAGAAGCTACTCTGAAGTATGACTTCATGTTACTTATGCTTTAGTTTCAAATTGTCGGACCGTTATGTCTCTATGTTCGGGACCCAGTAATTTCAGTTTGCATGCCACGATGTTTTTATGTGGTTCTTATTTACATGTCATTTTCCTTTTCTTGGTTATATTTGCTTGAAATATCTCCTGTTGCTTGCGTTCTTTGGCCTTACATTTTGTTGATGTGATTTAATTGTAGGTACAATGTGGCAATCAAGTGCGCAACCATCACACCTGGTATGAATAGTCACATGAGACCTGAAACCCTTAATTATGCATTTTGTTATATATGAGGTTCACGAACATTTATTCTTCAGAGTGCAGTATGATTGCTTTACATGCTTAATAATATTCACATTCTGTATCTAACAATCACAAACACAGATGAAGCTCGTGTGAAGGAGTTTGGTTTGAAGGCTATGTGGAAGAGCCCAAATGGCACAATCAGGAATATTTTGAATGGTCAGTGAACATGAATCCTCCCTCATGCTTTTAGTTTTATTTGTTATTATTTTTTTATAGTTTCTTCATGCGAATGCATTAATCTTCAATGCCCATCAATTTACTCTCACTGCAGGCACGGTCTTTAGAGAGCCAATTCTCTGCAAAAATATTCCCCGGCTTGTTCCAGGTAATGAACTTCATGCAGTTAAAACAATTATACTCGAAACATAAATCATGAAATGGAGTAATTTTGGTTACTTGCTATCAGGATGGAACAAGCCAATATGCATTGGAAGGCATGCATTTGGAGATCAATACAGAGCAACCGATACTGTGATCAAAGGAGCTGGAAAGCTTAAATTGGTGTTTGGTAATTCCTCACTATCCATCTTTCATTACCTATTAAGCACCTTAACCAAACCTCATTGACTTGTGAATTCTGATTTGGTTATCAACAAAGAAGTTCATGTTGGTATCTATTTTACTTATAACATACTTTTCCCCTATTCTTTTTCTGGCTTCTTAATCCCTAATATCAATATGCAGTACCAGAAGGAGCCGATGAAAAGACCGAGCTAGAAGTATTCAACTTTACTGGTGCAGGTGGAGTAGCTCTATCCATGTACAACACAGATGAGGTATGGCTTTCAAAATTGGGGTCTTATGGTTAATTTTTGATGATTCTCTTTGTGGCTCATTTATAGCCCTTTTTTGTTGTTTGTTGGAATTGCAGTCTATCCATGCTTTTGCTGATGCCTCAATGAACATTGCACACCAGAAAAAATGGCCACTTTATCTTAGCACAAAAAATACCATTCTCAAAAAATATGATGGAAGGTATGCTGCACTTCCATGTTAGGAACTTGTTTATTGATCTAAACAATTGCTTGAGTACTCTTGTCAAATATTTTATGTTTAATTCCTATAATTTGTCTGTTTCCAATTTTATGCTTTTCACGTGTTTATCTGAGCCTTCTCTTGTTGTTTTCTCCCGTCATTTAATTTCTGCCTTCTCTTTGTCTTCTCCAATTTCGTTTTTCAGCCTGTATTTGAGCTTTCCTTTTTGCTTTTCTCCTGTCATTTAATTCCTGCCTTCTTTTTGTGTCTGTCAATTTTGTTTTGTTATGTAATCTTATCTTCTTTATCATTTGTTGCTCCTTAAAAGGTTCAAAGACATATTCCAAGAAGTATATGAAGCCAACTGGAAATCAAAGTTCGAGGCTGCTGGAATATGGTGGGCTACTTAACTGCCTTTTTTTTGTGTTGGGGGGGGGGGATGCTGCTTCCTTCCATGTCTTGTGAATTTTCCCAATTAACTGCATAATACATGTAACAGGTATGAACACCGTCTTATTGATGATATGGTTGCATATGCTCTAAAGAGTGAAGGAGGTTATGTGTGGGCTTGCAAGAATTATGATGGGGATGTTCAGAGTGATTTCCTAGCACAAGGTATGCAAGTTGTATTACTGATGTCTACACATTCTGATTGTGTTCTTGGAACAGGAGTTGCTTATTAAAGCCTCTTTTGCTTATGGAGAAATAAAAGTCCTCTGTGTCATGTAAATGTTCAATTTTTGCACAAACTTAAGTTTTCGGCTTCTTTTCAGGGTTTGGATCCCTTGGGTTGATGACATCTGTCCTGGTATATTTCTTTTCAGTGTTTAC